CACACACACACACACACACACACACACACACACACACACACACACACACCACCCCCATGGACATGGTAAAAATCTACAAGCTGGGCATATTTTAAACTTGAAACGTTTCTACCCGGGCAGAGTTACTGGGTCAGGTCATATTTTCTTATTTAATGAGCTAGTTATATTACCTGAAACCCCGTGTTATCGTGTTGGAAGCTTTTCAATGTTATAAGCTCGCTTTCATTTCATTTGAAAATATGTACTTAGCACAATCGGACTGTAGCGAAACAATATGTAATACATGTATTGTTTCTAGTTGCCAAGTTTTATAAATATATCTATAGGCATATGCTAAGAAAATCGTTTCTACAAATGGAATGTTTCCGAGAAATTGTCAAGTGAATGTTAATAAACAAGTTTATCAAAAACTTTTTATCTTATAATTTTTTACTAGAGAAATCTGTTTATTAATAAGTACATCCAAAAATATTTGGTCGCTGTATGCAGTATTATACTACTTACATTTAAAAATATTGAATTATTTTGATTCAGAATAGCACAATACTTACGCACTAAAAAAGAGTTAAGTACCTACCTAAATCTAAAAATGCAAAATGCTTTATTGTTCATAGGATATCCTTTTACGTATTGAAAACTAATCAAATAATAATGAAAAAACGTATCGAGGTAAAGCTATGACCTACAAATATGTTACTAACCAGGGGGATGACCGCAGAACTTCAAATTACGGTTTTCAAAGTCATAGGCGTAAACTCAATAAGCAATTCGTCATCGGCAAAGTGGTCTATAAAATTGATCGACCAATGAATAACCTACCATAATATTAGTAAAATTTTACGTCTTTTGGGACAGACTAAGGCGTCTAAGTCATACTGCCAGATCCTAGGTTACATTTTTTCTTCAATAATTCAATTTAAATTCCAATTCTTTAGTATGAAATATATTATACGGCAAATTGCCCTAGTTCTTGAGTTAAACAATCTTAGGGTCGTATTCTAGAACTATACTCAATGCTCAAGTCAGGATTGCACTGGCAACACAAGCACTGGAAATACGACCCTAATGGCAGGGACTTGAGTATGATTTCGAGTGCTTTAAACCATACTCAAATCCTGACTTGAGCATTGAGTAGAGTTCTAGAATACGACTCTGAAACTTTGACAGTGTTAAGCCGAATGACAATAATTTTATTATTTATTTATTGTGCATTGATTATAGAACCAGTAACTTAAAACGATAACAAATAATAACTTAAAAAATATACATATAAAAATTAGTTTGTGTAAAAACTGGAAAAACAAAAACTTTTTTCCCGCATACACTCAGATTCTGATAACTTTATAATTCCACCATTGACTTAACAACAAATAGGTCAATGAATTCCACATATTTAACACACACTAGAATGAGATGAAATTTAAAAAGTGCGACAAAATCGCAGAAATGTAAGAAATGCCAGTTTTGACTTCTAAATAACGATAACGATAAGGCGTCGGCGCTATGAAAAATTATTTTTTGCGATGAAAAACTGTTTACGATTAATGACTTTGAGATCGACGGTCGCCCTCCTGATGTATAGGTGTTTATTAATCGTCATAGAGCATAATAAATCATGTCTGAGACTATAACGTTCAGAAACAGATAGCCGTTTAAAAAAAAAGCAAGAGAAGAAAATACATACAAAAATGTAGTATTAAATAAGCCCGATTCTTACGATGGAACACTGTATATTTTATTAATTACATCCACGTACATAATGGTAAGTAGGTACTGTCCATATCTATGTCGTAGAAAAATATGATAAACTGCAATTACGACGTTTTGTAAACTAAAATAAGAAATGTGACCTATCAAAAGCACCATACAAGAATTCTACTGAGACCATTTTCCACTACAATGTTAATGACGTATTGATACCGCTCGTCGTGTGAGGTAAACGTACATATTACATACGTTAGTTGTATGTATTGTAATAATACTTTTCAATTATGGTATAATACTATGCTTAACATGTGAAAATTGCACTAAAGGCGATGCGTACATTATTCAAGTGTCATTTCATTTAGTGTCCGTTGTAGTTGGGATTATGACAGACTATTCCTACGGACCACACGATTGTTGGCCTTGCTCCTGCTATTTAAAACTTCTGTCATTTTGCGTAGTTTATCAACTGTTAAATTAAATTACTGACACGATCTATGATAAACCGTCTAATAAGTTGCGACGATAAACGAAAGTGTGACAAACGAAAACTTAAAATTTTTACATTCTGTTCCCTTAAACGAGTTTTCTACGTTACAGGCTAGCAATTTTTATGTTTTCCGTGACTCAAACTCAAGCCAAGGCCCCCCAAAAAGTATGAACAATATACGTATATATAAACCATACGCTGAAACTTCAAACTTAGATTTAAAACGATATGTTTAGTATTCAAGGTCTTAATCTGTGACGTGGTAAAGCGGGAACGAAATCGATAACAAAGCCATACGGACTTATTTAAAGGCACTTCGAACAACATACGGCAGTTGAATTGGACATTATAGCAACGAATGTTTATTAACTAAGATCTTTCGTCTAGTGAAGCGTAAAGGCAGGAGGCGCCGTTTTTTCTTGGCTCCCAATTGAAGAAGAAGGTTCCTGGCCTCAGCGAGGGTAGCAGCATCAGCACCATCTTCCACTCCGGAAACAAATCCACTCTCAGGTCTCGAAAGCGCTGGTGTTGTTGGAAGCAGCGAGAACCACCGGTCTATCTTTGCTTTTGAAGATAACTGTTTATAAACAAATCAAAATTATAAATCTTACAATTAGTTCATTGGGCATATTGCCAAACGTTGTTGTTATAGGTACTAATAACTGCAGTTTTCCTGATTTTCAAATGTCATATCGTTTTTCAACCTGCATCCCAGTAGACGACTTTGGACTTCAGTTAAATTAAAGATATAGATTAGAGATAATATAAGAAAAAAATATTAGAAACTATATAAGTCTCGGCGAGGCAGTCTACAATAAATAAACAAGGTTGAACCTTAAATAAATTGTAGATATTTCATTAAGAGCGAAGGCGGGTTTCAAGAATGGTCGGAATGTAGCTCGTAGTATCATAACATAAATCTATGATTGACTTAAGGTTTTTATGTAAGTACACAAAAACAACAACACAAAATAAAGTTGTTTTGTTCATTTTTTTTTAGTTGTTTACTCTTATTTGGATAAGTGTCTAATAATGATAATATTGCTTTATTTCGTCTTTTTGCAACACAGCAAACATTATTATAATGAACTAACTTATAAAGACAAATTATGTCTTTTGTAAGTGAAAAACGGTCGCTTAGTTATTATATTAGTGGACATATTTTAGATGAACACTAAAGCAAGGGCGAATTATGATAATAATGTTACTGGCCATATATACAAAAAACATTTTATTTGAAAAAATAAAGACATCAATAATTTCTTCAATGATGATGAAATCATTAAACATTCTGTAATTATGTGGCCAGCGCTCAGACTAAGGAAGAACATAGTTATCTATCATAATTCAACTTATTTTTAGCGTTCATCTAATATCCATGAGTAGATATTATTTATACCACAACAAAATATACAGTACAAGGATTTTTTTCTATGACATTCTCATAGTTCACTGTAATATCCAAATATTTCAAGAACGGTTTAAGCGTTGTGATACGTACACCGTAATACACGTTACACTCCGCAGTGCCCGTTGATTTTATGTTCGTTCAAATATAAATGTTTAGGTAGTAGTAGGTGCACAATAGTGCAAATACCAGCAACTTAAATAGGTCCTACGCATTACTGATTATGATATTCAACACTTTAACGTGTATGTTTTTAACGTTTTTATTTACGTTATACATTTTTTAAACAGCTATGCTGATAGATATGCAGAAATGTAATATGGCTTTATCTCACACGTAGGCCAAAACTAAGTAAATAAAGTATTTAGTTACAGTCTGCGTCTGAGATTTACAAAACGAACTTAGACTTCGATTATACAAAAACTGCGCGCAAAACGAACTGCATAAGTTTAAGCAGGAAATTAAACGTAACTTTGTGTTTACTTCGTAATTTCTTGCTTAGACTTAGAAAAAGTTCATTTTGTAATTAAGAAAAATTTGTTTTGCTCGCCAGTTTTGCTTGGTCTAAGTTAAAGTTCGTTTTACAAATCTCAGCATCAGTGTAAAAACTTCTGCATTGTGTGTATGCAAACAACGTGGCTAATTAAAATGTTCATAAAATATCAAATAATATTCAATGCCATTCCAAGAGAGTAAACCCTTTCAAATAACGACAAGTGAAATTAACCTGAACAAATTGACTCCTTATACACGGCTTTACATTTTATTATGGTCCTACATAGTGGTACAAACTTTGGGAAATTGATTAGAGTCGTATCAATAAGAGTAACACAATGGATCTAAAACGAGAACTGAGATTGAGTGATTTTCACAGACAGAGAGAAACGACTAAAATGTGTAAAAATTGGTGTGAGTTCTCTTTGATCTGACGAAGAAACATTGATTGCTCTAAATAATATAAAAAATAGACAAAAAGTAGTATAACATGAAAATACTAAGAAGATGAAAGTACTAAGATGAACTTTATACGACTCGGAAGGACTAATCCCATTTAATCTCCGACAACTGATCCACCGCCAATTTTAAATCCTAACTGAACAACTCCCAACGAAGCCCCTCATTGTATTTGTTAGGTAAGTACAGTAAAAAAAGAAGTTTTAAATAAATAAAATCAAATATTAATTTACTGAGCAATTGTAATCATAAAAAGTTATTATTATCACAGACAATCACATTTTTTGCGACAGGTCGCTTATATTGTCACATCTAAGATTATATTGTCACAGCAAATCAAAAGTAAGAAAAAAAATCAACCTTAAGTAATATTTAAAATATAAGTTTTCCTAAACAGTGACTGACTATGCTATTATTCCCAGTTAAAAGTAACGTATTCGTCGCTTTGTTAATGGGTTTGTTATGTGTAATTTATGTTCATTAATATAAACAAATTGCAAATTTGCGTCATCTCTTACTTATTTCTTAGAGCTTTTGAAAGATTTTCTTATTATGTGTACCACAGTACCTACCAAAAATAAACTCGGAAGTACCATGGTATCAGGTGGGAATAAAATATAATTCCGATCCGATGGGAGTAGAAAATAATATAAAATAAAACGGATCCACCAGGGGATGCCATTGCATATTCAAAAAACGCCGATTAGGCTAGCTTTCAAGCAATCAATCCGCAATTTCATGTTGGAGCCTTCATCTGCATCGCATTAGCCTGACATTGTTATAATTAATCCACAATTTGTGTATTTGTTTAGGCATGTATTCTGTTATGTATATTTATGTGTGTAATATACCTATGTTTATTTCCCATCAGGTATATATAAACTGATTCTATCTGTTCTTAATCTTAGCTTGTAATGTTATGCACCGCCCGTTAATTTTTCTGAACCTTGCTCTCCGGTTGACTGATAGAGACTGCCTAATGGCATTAAGTCCGCCATTTGTACAGTTTTGTGTGCAATAAAGTTAAATAAATAAATTAATTAATAAAGAAAAAGTAGAAATGAATCAGGGTAGCGTGTATTTAATTATAATTTTGATACAACATGCCGAACGCGATCTGCCGGCTCTACGGAAGCAAGAACGATACTTTAGGTAATCTTTTTTCGTAGCACTAACATCTGTTCGCTTTCGATCAATCATATGTCTGGAAACACAAGTTCAGTGTAAAAAGTGTATAAAAATGCTTCCACTATAAGCACATAATTTATAGTCAACGAGAGTAGAGCTGAGGTAGTGGAAAATCGAGACTAGATAAAAGAAAAGTAAATGTGGGTGGTCCATGAGAGTCAAGAAACAGACTACGGTAAAACCTGGCGCTCCTGAAATCTATTAAAAAATACCATGCATGTTGTAACTTCAAAAATTCATTTTACTTAGGTCTTTTTTCTGGAATGTAAACATATTTGCGCAAATGCGCACTTATATTTTATAAAAAAAATAAAAATATTTTGTCAGAAAGAGTTCGTCCAGGGGAGTACTGCCACCTTACCTATTTCTGCCGTCAAGCATTAATGTGAGCATTATTGCGTTCCGGGTTTGAAGGGAAACAAGGGCGCATTTATTCGATACGAATTTCATTGCACTCTCGCCGCGCAGTCGCCGCGAGGAGGCCGCGTTGCCGCCGCGCAGCGACCGCGTGCATCTAACTGTCATGGCAAAGTGCGCTCTATTTATTTAGCTTTTACGTTATGGCGCGAGTGTGATGAAATTCGTGTCGAATAAATGCGCCCTAACTGGGCGCTAAGGGTGCTGGCGGAATTACAGGCACATAGGACTTGTCAACGTACATTCAGGGTGACAGACGTTGCGGCAGTGCCTCTCATATCTTTCCGATTTAACTGTTTAGGATAGGCGTGCCACCAGGTGCAGGACTTCTTCTTCCCATCATTTGCTACCATAAAAAAGAGCTTTTAGTAAATATACTTATTCGTTTTCACAACTCAAGAACGTGTTCGTTATCGATCAATCACCGGAGTTTCGAATGAGATGAATTGCTTTCTCGTAGCCAGTTAACATTTGATTGTACATATTTGTATTATTTGGTACACCTGGCTATTTTTGTATCAAAATATTGGCGGCCCATTTTTTACGTCACACTCTGTGTGACGTTTCTGTATGTTCGTAGATATGCTGGACTAAGGGCTTTATGTTTGTTAAAAAAAAGTATGTATCTACCAATTTGCTTATGTCAATAAAGCGTGTGTAGTGTGATGTTTTCATTTACATATCAGAGCACATACAGCTTATTTTGAGAATACTCTACAGAGCGCTCTTTATTTAGAAGCGGGAATTATATGTTTATAGAACCGTAACAAAAATTTAATTCGTCGTAACATAATACGTGCAAATTTCGTGTATTATTGTAGTTACCGAGTCTCCTTTATGAATGTTTACAATGTCGTTCTACTTTGTGTCCTTAGCACAATACTTGTCTAATATCCAAAATATAATGCGATTTGTGAAGGAAATCACACAGTCTTATTTCAGTGCGCCATTTTGGTATACATCACTAAAATGAAAAATGGCAGCCTTTTTTGCTCCAAAAATTTAAATGATTATTTTATAACCTACACCGCTCCAAAACAATTTTGAATGTTCAATTTGTTATTAAATTAACATGTTTGTAAGTTTACATTAATTTACATTAGTTTATATTATTAGTACATTAGTAGTAACGTTATTAAAATATTCTTCTTGCATATATAATTCTGAAACAGTGTTAAAATTTTAGAGGTCTGGAACCGTACTTGGGGAGATACACAACAACACGGTATGCGAATGGCTTAATTAATTTTTTAAGCAAAAAAATGTCGTACCGTGTGTACATAATGGGCTTCGTAGTGTCTACCAAAATGGCGGATTCAAATAAGACTTAGTATGCATAATTTTCTTCACAAATCGCATTGTATTTTAACTTTCCATTAAGCGCCATGAAGGTCAAATGCGCACTTATTAGCTAAACAGGTAATATTATTCGAAAGTTTGGCCCGAAATAAATTAAAACCGATTGGTGAAGGCTGAGCTTAGATCGAAACACTCTCATTGAAAGCGTTATAGGAGAGTCCAGATTAAGGGTGACTTTGACCCGCTTGTCTAAAGCGGAGACTACTTAATCCCACGAGATTTGTCTTGTTAATACAGATTTGTAATTAGTC